CAAGACAGATTTGTTCATTCTTCTGGCAGTCCATGGTATATTCAGTATTCTTCTCCAACACCATAATTCAAATGCATCAATTCTTCGTCAGTGTTCTTTATTCATTGTCCAGCTTTCACATGGATATGAGTCTTAAGTCAGGTGCACTTTAGTCCTCAGAGTGAAATCTTTGCTTTTTAACATGTTAAAGAGATCTTTTGTAGCAGATTTGCCCAATGCAATGCGTCATTTGATTTTTTGACTGCTGCTTCTGTAGGCATTGATTGTGGATCCAAGTAAAACGTAATCTTGACAATTTCAGTCTTTTCTCCGTTTATCATGATGTTGCTTATTGGTCCAGTTGTGAGGATTTTTGTTTTCTTTACGTTGAGTTGTAGTCCATACTGAAGGCTGTAGTCTTTAATCTTCATCAGTAAGTGCTTCAAGTTCTCTTCACTTTCAGCAAGGAAGGTTGTGTCATCTGCATATCTCAGGTTGTTAATGAGTCTTCCTCCAATCCTGATGCCAAATTCTTCATATAGTTCAGCTTCTTGGATTATTTGCTCAGCGTACAGATTGAGTAAGTATGGTGAAATGATGCAACCATGATGCACACCTTTTTGCAGACTTTTAAAATCAGGAAAGGTGTGCATGAGCTGATATGGGTCCCCTTTTTTCTTTATTTCTCTTTTCCTTTTTTATTTTATTTCTTTTGTCTTTGGCCACCCAGACATTCTCACAAATTGAGCATTTGTGTCTATTCATTTAGTAAAAAGTTTCAGGTCTGTGTAATATTTTGCGGTGATTTCGTTTTCACAGAATCATAGAGCTTGAAGTCCTCCCTGCTAAGGGAATCTCTCCAGAACAGAAGCGCTGACCCTAGCTCTTACAGAGTGCTGCATGTTTGCATAGAACTGTCTTGTAGTTTCCATTTAATCGTTGTCCAAGTATAAAATTACTATGGAAAAAATCAGGTGGAAATCAGTTTTTCAAAAACAAAATATTTCTAAGTAGGATTTATTTAATGTTAATATTTATTTTAACATACAATATATAAAAAACTCAGGTAGACATGGAGGATTCTAATGCCATTTCATTGCATTTGAACTCCAGTTTATGCATTTTTTTGGCTGAAAAAAATTTTGAGAAAATTACTCTCTAATGATTTGAGATTATGACAGTGTTGTCTCCTTAAAAGATAAATTCAGCTGCTTTTTTTTTCTGCATGAGAAATCTTATTGTTTCTGATGTAAAATGTATTATATCAGCATATTTTGCCCCCCCCAAAAAGAACAATCATGGAAATAATTCTTAGAGCAAAGGTCACATAAGTAATACATGTGATAAGTAATATATAGCAGTAGATTTTATCATAAGGAAGATACACAGCGTGTCACAGTAGGACAGGTAAAACCCTTACACTGGATGAATACACCTTATTGAACTAAACTTCCCCCTCTTCCATTGATTGTTGATTACATTGTTTTACTATGTTATTATGATTTCACTCTCCCAAATTGATTTTTAATTACTTGTTGCAAGTAATTGAAGTGTAAAAAGTGACTTTTTTCTTCTTTTCTTTCCTTACTTCCTTTTTTTTTTAAGCTGGGAGTTGCAGCACCTCTTAAGAGGAAATCAAAAACAGTAACAAAAGCCCTAATTGTGTATCTTTTTCCCAATAAAAGGGGTAACTACAGTAAAATATCTAGTAATTTTGTGACCATCTTTGGCTGTATCCTTGGTCTTTTCTCTCTCTCTCTTTTTTTTTTTTAGTACAAGAATCTCAAAGTTGTTGTGCTAGTAATGAATGTTAGCATTGTGATTTGTGTTATTTTTAACTTTAGAAAATGGAGTAAAATATGATACTAATAATAATGAAGAAGAGGAGGGAGAACAATTCGAGTTTGACAGTGGAGATGAAATTCCAGAAGCAGATAGACAAGCACCATCTGACCCCACTGCTAGTAATGCTGTAGCGAATGAAGAAGCTTCCAACACAGGTAAATCCTGAAATTGCCACCCAGTGGTGACTTCTGTTTACGTAATCTTTTAGATGACTCACTGATTTTCCTTCATTGTTACTGCCTGATGAGTCCCTGGGTGGTGCAGATGATTAATTCGCTGGCTGCTAATTGAAAGGTTGGAGGTTCCAGTCCACCAGAGGTGCCTTGGAAGAAAGGTCTGGTGATCTACTTCCAAAAAGTTAGCACTTGAAAACCCTATGGAGCACAGTTTTGTTCTGACACGCAGGGGGTTGTCATGAGTTGGAAATAACTTCACGGCAACTGGTTGGTTAGATGACTCTGAGATTTTCCCCTCATTATTATTGCTTGATTTGAATATTAAGAGGAAAGGTGGATTTCATGGAGTGAGATATTTATGATTTTTCTGTGATATAAAATTAGTACATCATATTAATGTCTTAATTTAAATTTTGGCTGAATTGTTCTTATTTGTCCCATTTCTCATGGTTTTCAGTCTTATCTGTCTCTGTTATTTGTATTTCCGGGGGAAAATTTCTAATAAAAGACAGCCTCATCATTGCCTCATTGGATTACATAAAATATTTTAAAATAATGCTATTTAAAATGAATTAAATAGAAAGTTTTAGTTTTTAAGTCTGGAGGTGGATTTGATTGTTTTCTTCTTTGAATTCTCACAGGCACTAAATTAGATGGACTGGTTAGACCAAAACTTCAGTAGTAGGACCGACATTCAATTTTTTTGTCCATGACAGAAACCTCTGTTCTGCTTAATGGCGCCAGTATTTATTTTTGGCAGCTTGTAGCTCGCTTATCGCATCAGATAAGCTGTTGTAGGAGTTGCCAGGCCATGCGCATTGCACCGGCGCACAGAGGCTGCATTGCTCCCACTGATTCCCAGAGTTCCTCCCTTCCCCACAGCCGTCGGCAGCAAACACTGTCCAACCAGTATGACGATCCACACGTGGCCACCCACAGTCTAGAGACCTCTAGGGGTTGGGATGGGGGAGTTCAATCAGAGCGTTCACCACTTTCTTCTTTGCTTCTGCCCCTGGCAAGAAATGTAAGACATGCTCTTGATGATAGTGCTTGTTTGCTAACAAGTCTTCTTTGCCATCCTTCAGCAGGAGAAAATGGACCTGGGACAGAAACAATGGTATCAGTAGAGCCTGCTAAAATTATGGCGCCAACTAAAGTCAATCCATATTCAGTCATCGACATCACACCGTTCCAGGAAGATCAGGCCCCAGCTCCAGAAGCCAGTACCGAGGAGGACAGCTTGAGCCTGCATGTGCCCAGCGGGTACTCTGTTCCCGTGCCCTGCGGCTACGCGGTCCCTTCAAGCCTGCCTTTGCTACTGCCCGCTTACTCCAGCCCTGTCATCATTCGCACTGTTTCTGTGGATGAGGAAGGTAGTGGTTTTTCACTTTTTTCTTTGCACAGTGAGAAGAATGGCATGTTTGTTTAGTAACATCCGTGCTCAGTCTTTCCCCGGCTAAGCTTTAGATGTGGAGCCCTGGTGGCATAATGGTTAAGAGCTTGCTGCTAACCAAAAGGGCGGCAGTTTGAATCCACCAGCCGGTCGTTGGAAATCTTGCCACTGACCCCCTGTGGGACATTTCGTCTGTCACTTACCCTCTCTGAGCCTCAACTTTCTCATCTCTGTAAGAAGGGTGTTGGTTTAAGTAGTCATTTTTTTCACTTCTACTTAGTGAAAAAGGGACCAAATTGTACCTTAGAATGACTTAGTTTTAAAAGCCTGTTCTCTGTTATCTTTAACACTTGGTAATACTGTTTATGTCCCTGGGTGGCACAAACAGTTAAGTGTTCAGTGGCTAACCAATAGGTTGGCGGTTTGAGTCCACCCAGAGACACTGCAGAAAAAAGGCCTGGCAAACTACTTCTGATAAATCAGCGTTCGAAAACCCTATGGAGCACAGTTGTGCGCAGACACACGTGGGTTGCCACGAGCTGGAGTCGACTTACAGCAGCTGGTTTGGTTTCATAGTGCTTGAGCTTCAGTTGTTTTTGCAGAGATTTATAACATAGCAGGAAAGCTGGCCATTCCTCCGGCTGAGGATTGAGCGTCTGAGCTGTCCTGTCACGTGCCACCATCACCATCGCAGGTCCAGTTCTTAGGAGCGTAGCAAAGCTTTGGAGAGTTGAACCTGTGAGTACATACTGACTGAAAATATGAAACTACAGTACAGGGGAGGTCAGCAAAACTGGACTAAACCAAAAGCTAAGCAGTTTCCTGAATACAACCAAACACTTCAAGGGACAGCATAGCAAGGGCTGGGGTCTGGGGACCATGGTTTCAGAGGACATCCAGGTCAACTGGTATAACAAAGTTTATCAAGAAAATGTTCAGCATCCCACTTTGGTGAGTGGCGTCTGGGGTCTTAAAAGCTAGTGAGCGGCCATCTAAGAGGCATCAATTGGTCCCAGCCCACCTGGGGCAAAGGAGAATGAAGAACGCCAAAGACACAAGGAAAATATTAGTCCAAGAGACAGAAAGGGCCACGTAAACCAGAGACTCCATCAGCCTGAGACCAGAAGAACTAGATGGTGCCAGGCTACCACCATGGACTGCCCTGACAGGAAATACAACAGACAGTCCCTGACGGAGCAAGAGAAAAGTAGGGTGCGGAACTCAAATTCTAGTAAAAAGACCAGACTTAATGATTTGACTGAGACTGGAGGGGCCCTGGAAGACATGGCCCCCGGACTCTCTGTTAACCCAAAACTAAAACCATTCCTGAGGTCAGCTCTTCAGATGAAGATTAGACTGGACTATAAGACATAAAATGATAGTTGTGAAGAGTGTGCTTCTTAGTTCAAGTAGATACACGAGACTAAATGGGCAGGTCCTGTCCAGAGGCGAGATGAGAAGGCAGAGAGGGTCAGGAGCTGGTTGAATGGACACGGGAAATCCAGGGTGGAAAGGAGGAGTGTGCTGTCCAAGTATAGAGAGAGCAACTAGGATCACATAACAATGTGTGTATAAATTTTTGTATGAGAAACTAACTTCAGTTGTAAACTTTCACTTAAAGCACAATAAAATAAAAATTACAAAACTGTTCTTCCCCTTGCAAAATCAAAGTTTATTATATTAAGAATTGACCCAGTAAAAACACCTTGGCTTAATTTTCCCTTCTGTCTCCTGAATATATTTCTTTCCCAGGACACACCATATGGAACTTCCCAGGTATATGTGATATTTTTCTAACGGACAGTAGTAACAGCTGAGGAGAATGGCCCCTTAGATATATGATCATAAGTTACGTTTTTGTGAAAATTTCAATGAAAGCATTATTTCTTTCCAGTTAATAACAAAATGAGAAAAATAATCTTTTAAGTAAATCTTGATTTTATATTTTGGAAGCCAAAGAAGAGGGTTTTTAGGGTAGACGTTTTCCCACGTGTTTTCCTGTTGAAATTGGCAGTAATCCTGGGAACTCACCATGATCAACAATACTGTCCTGATTCTGTAGCCTTAAAGAGTAAGAACAATCTAAAAATAATGGAGTCGGGATTATGGAGATTTTGTGCTTAAGGAAAATACATTTACTTTAATGTAAGTTGCTTATTTTTAAATAATTTGGTTATTTTAAATTATTTAAAGTCATATATTTTAAAATAATTTAGCACTATTTTAAAATATGAACCATAAGTAACAATGCACAAGCACCAGAAGAGAGACTAGATAAATGGGAGCTCCTAAAAATCAAACACTTATGCTCATCAAAAAACTTCACCAAAAGAGTAACAAGACAACCTACAGACCGGGAAAAAATTTTTGGCTATGACATATCCAATCAGCATCTAATCTCTAAAATCTACAAGATACTGCAAAACCTCAACAACAAAAAGACAAATAACTCAATTAAAAAATGGGCAAAAGATATGAACAGGCACTTCGCCAAAGAGGATATTCAGGCAGCTAACAGAAATGCTCACAACCATTAGCCGTTAGAGAAATGCAGATCAAAACTACAATGAGATATCATCTCACACCAACAAGGCTATCATTAATCAAAAAAACACAAAATAATAAATGCTGGAGAGGTTGTGGGGAGACTGGAACACTTATACATTGTTGGTGGGAATGTAAAATGGTACAACCACTTTGGAAATTGATTTGGCGCTTCCTTAAAAAGCTAGAAATAGAAGTACCATACGATCCAGCTCTCCTGCTCCTTGGAATATATCCTAGAGAAATAAGAGCTGTCACACGAATAGATATATGCACACCCATGTTCATTGCAGCACTGTTCACAATAGCAAGAAGATGGAAACAACCTAGGTACCCATCAACGGACGAATGGATAAACAAATTATGGTATATCCACGCAATGGAATACTACACAATGATAAAGAACAACGATGAAGCCGTGAAATATAGCATGGAGGAAGCTGGAGGTCATCATGCTGAGTGAATTTAGTCAGTCACAGAAGGACAAATAATTGTATAAGACCACTATTATAAGAACTCAAGAAAAGGTTTAAACACAGAAGAAAACATTCTTTGATGGTTCGGAGGGTGGGGAGGGAGGGTGAATGTTAAAAAAAAAATATATAAAATAATTTGCTTTTTTTTTTTACTGTCAACCTAGAGCCATTAAGAAAGCTGTATTATAATAAACACTGTTGTGAGGCCCAGAATCCAGGAACAAGTGTGTCTTTTTTTTTTTTTTTTTTTTTTTTGTCTTTTAAAGAGAAATGAGTACACCTATCTCTTTTCCTGAGGTGGTAGAAAAAGCAAAGATTTTGACATTAGGCCTGGATTCGAATTCTGGATCTGCTACTTTCTACCTGGATAGCACTGGGCCGTTTCTTACCTTCTTTGTGCCTGTGTTATCTTAGCTTGACACGGGAATGGCTGGCGGGAGAAATTCCCGATGAGGACGCTCATCTTCTTCCTACCTCTCCTTATCAAACGCCTTCTGTTTTGACAGACATTAAATTCTGGTGAATTTTATTTCTTGAAATGAGGAGCACACGGTAAGAAGAATTTCCTGCAGGAATGGGCATATTATGAGAAAACATTCGGGCTGTGCATTTAGGGCTAGAAAGCAGTGTTATACATGCCCATCTCTGCTCTTGACTTATGTGCAGGGAAGAATAATTCACTGTATAAAGTTCTTTTGGTGCCAGTCAACATTTCCTGTCTTCATCAACTTCGTGGATGATTTCTGTCATTTTGTGGGGTCATTTTGGCTATTCTTTGAGGCACTGTTGTATAATGGGAAGAGCAATTTTTGAAGCTGGGTGGATTTGACTTCAAGTCCTGGCACTGCCTCTCATCTAACATGTGACGTAATGTTTGTCCTGAGTTCATCACTGATCTTGGTAAGCTGCAAAGAGAGTGGAAGAAAAACAACAAACAGATTTGGCATGTGTGAAATTGTGTGTGTGTGAGTATGTGTGTGTATATAGGTATGTGTAAAGTTTGGTTGTCAAACATCACAAACTTTACCATTTCTTCCTTAAAGTTTTTGACATTGTCATATACGCATACCTTTAATTAAATCACAATTGTACATTTCCATGAAAACCCAAGACGTAGGAGAGAATATTATTTTAAAATCTAGCTTGATTTATTTCAGTACCTGTGTGTTTTATTTCTGACTCTTTTAGAAAACCTTTGCATATCACTTTTTATTATAACCGAATTTTGAATAAGTTTTATTTAAAAGCTGAAGATTTTGAATACATCAGTTAATAATCTTTATACTAAGATAAGCTTATAATTGACAAGAAAAGAAAATACGATATCATTTTAAGGATGAAATCAACTTCACCAGCATTTTTGTCAAGCCTAAAACCAATATCAGTTTTTTTCTTTCCTAGCAGAAACGCAGGAAGTAGCTGAAGATAGCCACTTTAATTCTTTAAGTTCTGAGGATCCGCCAAACAGGTATCTTCATTAATTTTACAGATATATTCTGAATTCATGACTTTTTTTTCTTGAAACGTCGACTACAAGTGATTTTAATGTGCTGTTTTGCCCTTCTATGTTTTTTAAACGGTTAATTCCTCACCACTCTTCAGGCAACGTCCCCAGGTCTTTATTTCCTGCCTACATGTCTGTTTCGGTTCCTCTGTCTTGTGCTAGTCTACCCTTCCATCCTATTTGCTTGTCATGCTGTCTTCTGTATATTCTGTCCTCTAGCTCAGTGTTCCTCCAATTGTGTCCTACTGAGCATTGGTACTTTTCAAAACATTATTATCATTCTGTGTGGAAAAAAGAGGACGTATGAGTCCATGTCTAATAGAACTGGAAGATTTCTCCAACTCTCGTCCAGCTCTGTCTTGGAGATGCCTAGTGTGTGCATAAGCATAATAAAGGTTCTGAGAATCCTTTGGTTGAATAAAAAAAGATTTAGTTTTGTTTAATCTAGAATTGCTCAAACTTTTTTGATTACACACTCTTTCTTTCATGCCTCCTTGCCTTTACAAATCCTGTTTCATCTTCTTGAAACGCCCAGGAATCCCATATGCCAGGCAAACCCGTATTTATCCTTCAGAACCCAGCGTAAATGCCGCTTTTTTCATGAATTTCCTCTTTCGTGTCTCCAGAGCCATTCGCACATACCTGTATTATAATTCGTTGCTTTGTGCTATCACTACTGTTTTCTATATCTCTTTTCCCTGATGAATTCCTCAAGGACAAACACCAGGTTTTATTAAATCTTAGAACATTTACCGCCTAGCGAGACAGTGTGCTTGGTACGAGGTAAGTATGTTTAGTTTTTTTCATTTGCAAAACATTTGTGGAGTGTCTGTCACGTACAAAGCATCCAAAATAAGAATTGTAAGTAAAGCCAGCCACAGTGCCATTATTCACCTTACAGTTCTAGTGGGCAGAGGGATGTTAATCAGACAGTCACACTAATGACTGGACAATCACATTTCAAGATGATTACTCTGAAAGAAAGGAATGGGATTCCATGAGAACCTGTAACAGAGTCCTGACCTAGACAGAAAGGTCAGATGATTTCACAGGTTCTCAGGGAGTTACTGTTGGATAAATAAGTGAACAAATGCATTCCCCTAGAATGTCAATCTAATTTATTATCCTTTTTCTTATCTCTCTCCTCAACCAGATTTCTTTTCCAGCCTCATTTCTCTTAGCTCCCTGACTGAGGGCCGTTTCCTCAGGAACCAGGGGCTCTTTGTCCTGCTCCTGCGGCTTTGCTGATGCTCCATCTAGATTGTCATCTCCCTAATCTCTTACCTACTGGTATTTCAAAGCCGATTTCAAATTCTACCTCATCTCTGACATCTTGTCTGCACATTACAGAAGGAAGTGACCTTTTCCCCTCTGCGAGAGGGAGAATATTTGCTTTCTGTGTGCAGAGTGACTGCAGAAGTGATAGTATTGCCCTCCGCACAGTCTCGGTGAGGACTTGGCCCGAGTGGCTGGGGTGATGTCACTGCTGAAGCCTCCGGGTTTTCAGTGTTCATGTCACGTGCATGGCAAGAAAAGTCTCCCATTTCTGCAGGCAAGTGGGTTGGCAGGGTCTTCCCGTTTACATGTGCAGGGAATCAGCAAAAACAGTGGAGCCGATGAAAAGAATTGAGTTTTATTTGAAGCATCAAGATAAATCAGCCAAAGTTTGGCAGGAATCCTTTGCCAAAGTCATTTTTTTTTCCGTTCAGTTATTAAGGCTCTTTAAAAGTATTTCTTACATGAATTCTTCTAAAATGCCTAGGCTCTCTAGGGAAAAGTATTCATTTAATAAGAATTTTCTATCCAATTTAAATACAGAATTATTTCACAAAGTAGATCTATCTAAGACTGTTTATGAGAAATCACAATTCTGTTAAATATTAGTGAATGTCTTGTTACTATTGATAATCTAAAATGTAGCATGAAAAAATATATTATCAAAAGCATTTTTTTTTTTACAAGGAAACACAACTGAAGTGGGGTGATAACTCAGATAATTTCCCTAAGTATGAGAAATATTCAGGAATCATTTAAAATACAGTATAAACATTTGCTTCAAATTTTCTTTTATTCTTTTTGTTTTAGTATAATTTCAAACTTAAGAAGTACAAGAATAGTTCTTTATGTGGTGATTTCTTTAAGTACAGGGACTATATCTTAATTTTTACACAAATCCACAACATAGCACATTATGTAGCACATCCCTGAGTATCTGAAGTGTCTCTTATCTGGAAATTTTCAAGACTTTCGCACGTTTTCCTCTTCATTGCCATCTTGCAAATATTTCATTGTTCGTTAGAACGTTTAGCAAAAACTGGAAAGATAAAAGAGAGAGACTGTCTACTGCAATGGCATTCACTGTCTCTGTCACTGACTGAAGAGGTTGCATTGAATTGCCACCCAATTTTCTATTATTGATTCTATTTTTCCATATATAAATGTTTCAGAACTTCCCTTATTTATCTCTAGATGCTTGTTCTATTTCCCATCTCTTTTCCTTCCAATTAATTTGTTTTTTGTACTGCTGCTAAGTTTATCTTTATAAAATACTCTCCGTGATGAAAGCCTCATGTCTGCGGTTTTGTCTGTTTTAATCACTGCTATATTCATATTTAAAGAGTCTGCTTGTGCAGTGGTTAAGCGCTCAGCCACTAACCGAAGGGTCTGCAGTTAGAACTCACCGCCTGCTCCGCGGGAGAAGGATGTGGCAGTCTGCTTCCGTAAAGATTACAGCCTTGGGAACCTACAGGGTTGTAGGGTCTTACAGGGTTGCTGTGAGTCGGAATGGACTCAGTGGCAATGGGTTTGGGTTTTATATTCATATTATTAAGAACTGTGACTCTCACAGAGGTGGCCATCAATAAGTATTTGTTGACTGAATCTAATCTTGTCATTCTTCTGAATAAATCATTCCAGTGGCTTCCCACTGCCTACAGAATAAAACAAAACTCCCTTGACTTTTTGTTTGAGACTCTGTATGACCTGGCCCCCGTGACCACTGCGTCATGGGAACATACCTCCAGTGTAGTAATTACGACTGTTTATTTTTGTTTTGTGTCTTTTCTCCCACCGCCCTGTTACGAGAGTCCAAGAAGGCCTGTATCTTACTTGTGCTTATCTCTAGAACCCAGCACCGCATGTGGCACGAGATAGGCCCCCAAAAGGTCTCATGAGAAACTGAAAGAAGAGTTAGGCCTTTTGCCAGTAGGGACTATATTTCTTTTATACTCTTGTCGTGCCAGATACTGTGCAGTACACATGGTGGCCATTCAAAGGTGCTTATTTATAAATAGTTATGAATGAAAACTAGAATTTGGTAGTTTTTGTAATAACGTCTGGGAAAATATACGCTTTCCAGGCATAGTAACATACATACATACATATATATACAGTAAAACCTGCCAAAGGTGGGAACCTGTCAAAGAAGGAAAACTGAAAACTCAAATGAGGTCGGATTCTTAATAGAGAGTGACAGTAAGCACCCTGTCAAAGGCAGAAAACTTGTGAGACCCAGAAAAACAAGGCAGCCCTGTCGAGTTCCATCTCTCAGAGGTTTTGCTGTACTTTGGGGCGTTCAGCAGCCCAATGATTGGAATGTTTGTCAGTATCCTGACTTTATGGTTTGTTTTTCTTAAGTGAAGATCAAGTCGATAAAGAAGACAGCGCCCTGGCCCGATGGGCTGCAGATCCTGCCAATACAGCCTGGATGGAAAGTGAGTACCCCTGACCGCGAGTGTTGACGGGCCATCAAGTCCTTGTGATGCTCGGTACTAACCTTTGCCAACACGGTGTTGCTGTGGTTTTCTTCCCCCCCCCCCAAGCTGTGTTAATTATTCTTATGTTCTCTGTAAGATCTGAAGCTTTTAAAATATATTCATTTACTTAAAATGTTAACAGAAGCTGAATGTGTACATAATTTCCCAGGGCTCTAGGAATCTGTTACTGCATTGCATGTTATCCTAGCTCTCTCCATCCAAGCACATACCTCTTACTGATTGTTTCATTCTAGTACCAATTTTGTTGTCATCACAACAGTTATGGATTTGGGGAATGATCCTTTGACTTCCAGCCCATAACCAATGAGTCATAACTGAGATGTTAATGAAATATTCCTTCTTACTATTCCCCAACAAGATGCTTTTTCACGGTACCATTCTCGAAGGGGAGGGGTGTGGCTGGTTAAGCCAACCCACCAACCAGATGGTATACCAGCTCTTCCATTCCATGTGTGCTTTAAAAAGCTAAAAATATTTTTGACTACATTTAATTTTTTTTTAATTTTTAAAGGAAAAGTAAAGATTACTTTCCTCATTACCCCTTTTGTTATCGACGGACCCACTCATCTCCGTGAAGTTATTTTGTATGATTGACTCACAAGTTAGAACCATCTTAACTGTCTCCTAGTTATTAAACCGTCTCCGGACTGGTTCCTTATTATTTTAATTATGTCATTGTCAAAACAAAGAACTTAGTATGATTAAATGATTCCGCTGTGGGCTGTTAAATCAGGATCATTACAAGATTAAATTATTGACTTCTTATTCTCAAGCAATTTTGTTTCTAAAGCAAAATTTGTCCGAATTTCTTCCATTACTCATTTTTATTATCCAGATGACAGTTAATTGGAGTAACTGGATTTGAAAGTACACTCTGTCAACTAGCAATCCCGCAGCATCAGCATTATCGAATAGGAGTAGAAACACTTGCTGTGGTTGCAGTTAGTAAAGATTATTAAAAGAGAGCAAAAGCCTCCATAATATGGAGACTTGACAGCAGCTGGAGAATAAGGGGCTCTTCTTGAGTTTGCATCTTTTACCCGGTAGTGTGGAGATAGTGACAATGCCCAGATGTCAGAGGATGGTAAAGTTTTATTTAGCTAATTTGCCTTCCTTTATTGTTTAATAATCAGTTGCTTTTGTGGTTTTCAGTAAAGCAAATAACACATTGTAGTTTGGAGGTTCGTCTGTGGCAAGGATAACACCAGTAAAAGAATATTTTGGAAAAGTAACCTAAAAGATCTTTTTTAAGAAACTGATTGCCAGAAACGCATAACTCTTACAAATATTTAAATAAAAATTCAAATTTTATTGCTAATCTCCTACATAATTATCTTATACAATATAGACTAAAGACTTTGCTCATGGAGCTTCCCCCTCCTTTTTTTTTTTTTTTTTTTTTAAGAAAACCTGTTCTGATTTCGTAGGACACTAATGACCCACATAATGCAGTTTGAGAAAATTTGTGCTGAGGGTTTAACACTTTCTTCCTGCATGTGACTACTTTTCCTATCCAGGGGTTCAGAAAGTTGTCAAGTGGTCACTTTGCTCCAGTGGTTCCCATTTGTACAGCTTTGGGTGGGCTCTCCCTCCTTTTCTGAAACTATGCACAGCACCTTTGTATTCTCTGTATGTCAGAACACTCTAACTTCATAGACTTAAAAATGTTTATAGAAGAAACATAAATATGTATAACTGAACACATCACAATAGAATAAACTTGGCCTGAGAATGAGTAAAAACCACCTGTTGGTGATATTCTACAGCTGGCTCAGTTAGCATGCTAGCCCCCATTCCCCAGCAGAATATTCCGCCCCCCCCGAGATAATGTCCATGCTTTGGTAGGGTACCATCAGCTATCCATGTGAACTCTTCTGTAATAGCAGTAAATGTTATTAGTCATAGAAGACTGTTGCCCTATAAAATGTAGATTGAACCGGATTAGTCTTGTTCAATTTTTCAAAGTTTCCCTCCCCTTTTATTGCAGACCCAGAAGAAGCAATTTATGATGACGTTCCAAGAGAAAATTCAGACTCAGAACCAGGTTTGATTTCTGTCCTGAATTGAGTTTCATGAGATTCAGTTCAGCAGTTTTTCCCTATTGGTATAAAAAAAAGTGACTATTTAGTGTGTACATAATCACAAAATGCATAGCCTATGTGTTTTTGTATAGTCATGTTTTATATATTTTATAGTGACTCACTGATGTGGTAGAATATTGGTGTGTATGCACACATAATGTATGTGTATTTGTATTTACAACATTTGAAATGCCAAGAAAAGGAGTTCATAATGAAAAATTCTAACATCAGGATCTCCATCCATAGTTTCTTCAGCTGAAAAATGAGGGAGTAAAATCAGTTGGCAACATAGCTAATGCATATAACCTGGAAATCTCTTCCTACAAATACATAGACATGTGGGATGCTATATAAAGATTCTTTTAAATATGGTGCTGGAAATGAAGAGGTAAATGAAAACCAGAAAATATGCTAATAAGTGGGTGTGTTTGTGATCCTGGTTGGGGGTGAAGGTGGAGAGCAGTGTGAATTTCAGTAACCCAGAAGCTGCAGCTTTATACTCAGTTGGGAGTTGGAGAGAAGACCTAGCATTGCACTAGGAAGGGAATTGGAACTGGGACACCCCAAATAAAGCTGGGACCTTCAAGTAGCTGCTTCTTAAGTGAAAGGATAGATTAGAAGCACATGTACCCACTGACACAACTTGACCCAACCAAAGAGAAAACTAATAAACTTGAAGATAAGTCCCAGGAAATGACCCCAAAGAAGCAGAAAGACCTAAAGATATGGAAAATATAAAAGAAAAAGTAAGACATACAGGATGAGAAGCTCTAATTTTATCTAATAAATGACAAAGGAGAAAATAGAGGGAATTGGGGAAAGGTAACATTCAAAGAAATAATTACTAAGAGTTTTCCAGAATTAAAGAAAGACATGCATTCTCAGTTTCTAGAAACACAGATTCAAAATGGGATTAATTAAGAATTTATCCCTACCTAGGCCCATAGAATTGAAACTGCAGAACACCAAACCCACAGTGAAAATCTTAACAGCAACAAAAGTGAGAATACATATTACCCACAAAGGAACTACGACTAGGAAAAGAACAGACTTATCAACAGTCCAGGAGAGAGTAGAAAAATGTTTTCCACGTATTGAAGGAAAATAGCTATTTCTATCTAGATTTCTAAACAGCCAGACTATAATCCTTCCAAAAGAGATAAATAAAGGCAATATCAGACTAAGATTTCTTATTTAAAGGAATACTTAATGTTGTACTTTAAAAGAAAGAAATGGGATACAAGAAAAAATAATGTGAAAATAAATTGATAAATATGTGAATAAATCTAAACAAGCATTGAAGAGTAAAACAACATTAATAATATTCCATTTCAAGGGTATAAATACAAGATGGAACTAAAATATTAGACAGTGATAGCATGTACAATGGGAAGGAATGATTCACTTTAAACACTCTAAGTCTGTGTATTTTTCAAGAGAAGGGTTTGTTTGTTTATTGTTATGCTAGGTCAAGTCTGAATGTTTTGGGTAACCACTAAAAGAATAGAAGTAGATCATTTAACTTCTAAACCGGTGGAACAGAACTCAATTCAATAGAAAGCAAGAAAATATAAAATAAGAAAGCATGGAAAAGAGTATGAAATAAGATGTAAAAATAAGTCCAAATATATTGATACTTGTAGTAAACATAAATTGGATCAAACTTGCCAATAAAAGAGATTCTCAGATTGGATGAAATAGCAAAGCTATCCATATGCTCTTACATGAGATATAGTAACATAAAATGATACATAAAATTTTTAAGTGAAAGGGTAGGGAAAGGACTGTAAGGCCAATTCTAACAAAAATGGAGCCACTATAACTATAATAATATCATATAAAATGTTAAATTGTGAAGCATTATTAGATATAAAGTGAATTATGATAAAAGGAATAAGGAAGATACATCTTCAAGAGGAAGATATATAACAATTTTAAACTTGTATGGACCTAACAACAGAGCCTCAAAATATGTAAAGCAAAACATGACCAAGATGTAATCAGAAACAGGTAAGTACATAATTATAGTGGGAGATTTTAACAAAGCTCTCTCCATTTTTGACGGGTATCAGATACAAAATTAGTAAACTAGAAGATTAGACCAACATAGCTGTATGACTGATGTAAAGGACCTATATGGAACCCTGGTGCTAATAGTCTCAGAATACATAACTGCCCTAAAGCAAATACTAACAAATGACCAAAGGTGTGATATTCAGGTCTCATTCTCTGATAACGATCCAATAAAATCATTACAAAAAATAAGTAAAATCACTTGGAAATTAAAAACCATACTACTAAATAACCCATGGTCAAGAATGAAAATTAGAAAATATTTTGACTTAAATAATAATGAAAACATTACATAAAAACTTACAGGATTGATTTAAAATAATAACAGTTACAGACATAATGGCATATGTTAAAAAAGCAGATTGAAAAACGATGAGCCTAGCATCCAGCTCAATCGGTTATATAAAAGAATAGCAGAGTAAACTCAAAGAAAGTGAAGGAGGGAAATAAGAAGAAGAAGAACAAAAATGATAAAATAGAAAACAAAGAAACAATAGAAAGTATCAACAAAGCCAAAAGGTGCTTCTTTGACAGGAATAGTAAAAGTGATTGGAAGAAGTTAACTACAGTAGAAATTTGGGAAAACCATAAGTGAATTCTATAAACAATTTTACATCAATAAATTAAATCACTTTGAAGAAAATAAAAATATCCTTCAAAAATTGACTCTATCTGAAATGGAAAATATTAATCGCTCTATAATGATTCAAAACATCAAATCAGTAGCTTAAACTAATTTGCAAAACAGTCTGCCAGGCCCAGATGTTTTTATATAAGAGTTTACTAAACCTTCAGGGAACAGATAATCCCTGTATTAAACACTGTTCCAGTGAATAGTTAAAAAAACAAAACAGAACAAAACAAAAAAACCACAAAACTCTATAACTCACTTTTGAGGTTAATATAAACTTATAAACCCTGCTTACCCCAAAGGGACAGTACAGATACAAAATATCCCAAATACAATGTCAAGAAATCAAATCCAGCCATTTCCCAATAACAAAGAAGCAAAAGCCCATCTAAACCCTTTAGACTTACCTCAGGAGTTCAAGGATTCTTTAATGTTAGGAGGGCCTTTAGACATAAATCATATGTTCATCTCAAACCAAAACCAAACCCATTGCTGTCAAATCGATTCCAACTCATAGCAACCATATAGGACAGAGTAGAGCTGCCCCATAGGGTTTCCAAGGAGCGCCTGGTGGATTTGAACTGCCACCTTTTTTGTTAGCAGCCGAACTCTTAACCCCTATGCCACCAGGATTTCTAATGTTTATTAATGGATGCTTAAAAAGCACTTTATAAGATTCAGAGGCCATTCATGTTAAAAATTCATAATAGTAGGAAACTTTCTTGACCTAATTAAAATCTATAGCAAATGTACTTAATGGTGAAGAGTTAAAAGCACTTATTAATTTATTCATTCCACAAATACCTTTTGAACACCTCTTATGTACTAGGCACTGACCTAAGCTCAACTAAACAAAGTCGCTGCTGTCATGATTCCTATATTGAGGGAGACCGACAAATTTAGGCCTATTTATAAACAAAACTTTAGGTGCTTATTAATAAATATGCTCATATTATTTTTGAGCATTTTAAAAATAATTTAATTATTTAAATATATGCTGCAAATAAAATGTGTTCTAAAGACTAATTTCTATAAAAATAAGTTTAAAATGCATTTTGGGGTAATTTATCAGAGCCTTGGTGGTGCAGCAGTTAAGAGCTCGGCTGCCAACCAAGAGATCAGCAGTTTGAATCCACCAGCCGCTCCTTGGAAACCTTATGGGGCTGTTCTCTGCCCTATAGGGTCACTATGAGTCAGAATTGACTTGATGGTAGCGGATTTTTTTTTTTTTGGTAGTCTACCAATTAGGCATTTCGTCGCACAGAAGTTATGATTTTGAGTCTCAAAAACCACATTTCCGAGTAAAAGCTCTACCAATAGTCCAAGCGTCAAAGGTGATAGTGGTTCCGGTTAGATCAGTTGCGTCCCTTTGTGATTACAGCACTCAGCAGGGGTCCAGGTGCATAGAGGCTTGGTGAAGAATTATCCAACTGTTACCATACTTTTACGCAAATAACGCACGCCTTCTACGTTTGTTTTGCCAACTACTCCCTCCCCACCGGGACATATTTTCGTAAGGGCACTATGCTGATTTTTTTTTTTTTCCTGGCAACACGTAAAGAAAAAAAACAATTGTCATAGCTACGCCTCTGAAAATACTTTGCGGGGGAGGGAGTAGTTGGCAAACAAACGTCGAAGGCGCACATTATTTGTGTAAAAATACATAGTTGAATGAATACCTCTTTCTTTCTCCTTATTTCTTAGGGCAAGGGAAATCAGCTTAAGGTTGCCAGAAATAGTTCCAAAACCTTTGTGGCAGTAAGAGTGACATGTCTGATTGTCTGTTTCTTCGTGGTTCCCACAACGTACTGGTCATGACATTCCTCCACAGTTGCCTTTGCTCTCCCTTCCGCCATGACACCTCCTGGCTCTCACTGTAACCCAGTCACGCTGATCCTCTCCGCCTAACTACATGTCTTGGTGGTACAATGATTCTGAACGATAGTTTAGCATCAACTAGGAAATGCGAACATGGCGATACTCATAAACCAGTGCTTCACTTGTAGGTCTGTTTCCTAGAGAAGTGCACACCCATCGCACAAAGATACACGTGCAGGGATGTTTATTTGCAGTACTATTTGTAGAGACGAAAAGGTGCGGAAAAAGTTTTCACCAACTGTAGCTCCATAGTAGGTGAATGGATAAACAAATGATGGTGAGTTTATGTAATGGACTACTATGTAGTGGTAAAAAATGAGTCAATTATATACATATATGTATAAACCAGAAACCCACTGCCATTGAGTCGATTCTGATCATAGCAACCCCATAAGGCTTCTAAGGCTGTAGAATACAATACAATATGTGGGAGATCATGGAAGAATTTCTTACTAGATATCGTTGTTATGTAGGTGAGTGCTGTCGAGTTGATTCTGACTCATAGCGACCCCATGTGACAGCGTAGAACTGCCCAGTAGAGTTTTCTTGGCTGTAATCTTTACGGAAACAGATCACTAGGTCTTTTCTCCAGGGGAGCTGCCGGCGGGTTCAAACTGCCGACCTTGGAGTTAGCAGGCGAGCGCGTAATCATTGTGCCACCAGGGCTCCTTTACTGGGTAGTAAGGTCCCAGTAAAGGTTGTCGCGACTCACGGCGAAATTTCAGCCAAGGGAAATAATAAATCATGCTTTCTATTCACTGTCCTCAGTAAAAAGAGATGCCCGAGGGACTGGATTTAGTTTTCCCTTTTCAGAAAGCATAAATCTATGAATCTAGGAATTAAAGAGAACAAATAATTCACTAAGTCATCAATATTTAACATGACACCTCACAGTCCTTGAAAGTTTCATGTAAAACAGGATTGATTACCTTTTTAAAAAGCATTCAAAAGCATTTATTTTCACACATTCTAATAGGCTGAATATTCATAGATTTAAGTTAAAAGCGTTTGACTATGCCTGAAGTTGTTAGAGCTTTTATTTCCCCCAAGACTGTGAAGA